GGACTTTGGACTGAATAGGTTTTCTATCTCTTTAGTCTTTAAGTGTCTTGGTTGTTTAATGCATGCGACTGCATTGTAGTGTGTACTGTTGTCTGTGCCCGTTGTTCGAGTGTGGCTAATTTTACTGTGTAGTACGTTGTTTGATCGGTGACATATTGTACTCAGCTATTGTGGAGGGAGCACATTTGTGTGTTGTTTTTCTGATCTGCCATTATTGAGAATATAATTTTGTTTGTTTATCAACTCTCGGCTCTGACTTGTTCTTTGGGCCACAGCCGGCGTCCGCTAGCGCGCCAAAAAGGACCACTTCTAAATTGTCCACGCTTTCGTGGTGCGGTTCGGGGGGCTGATACTTCGGCCCTTGGAATTAGCCCGGCGATCGCCTCCCTAATTAACGGGGCCTGTGTGTGACAATTAATCTGGCGTCCGCGACACAGGGCTTTTTGGTGCACAGTGTGTCCAAAGTAGTGAGAAAGAGCCTCGAGTTGTTGATAGTGCTATCGGAACGATTTTGTGTGTTGCTCAGTGTTCTCGTTAACGAGTGCAGTGGAGTGTTCCGATAAACTGATTTAGGCAGATACTTTTTACACGCGGCAAGACTTTATTTGCGAGACACCATGGATCTCGAAAAGTTAGTAGCTCTTGGTGAGAAGATGGGTCTTTCTGGCGCCGAACTATGGAAGTGGGTAAACCAGAAGGAGAAAGAGGCGGTGGAAAGAGAGAGGTTGGCAGCTGGGAGGGCCAAGGAAGAAAAAGCAGCTGAGTTGGAGAGAGAAAAGTTGGCAGCCAAAAGGGCGAGAGAAGAAAGAGAGCAGCAATTGAAGTTGGAGCTGGAGAGAGAAAGACTGGCAGCTGAGAGGGCGAAAGAAGAAAGAGAGGAAAAGGAACGGCAGCGACAGCACGAGATAAAACTCGAGCAACTCCGTTTGCAACAGCGAAGTGAAACTCCCGTCCAACCTAGAGTTGAAAGCAGCGAACGGGAAGATCATGGCTTCCGCTTGAACCCAAGCAAGCTGCTTGTGGCGTTTGATGAAAGGAAGGACGACCTTGACGCGTACCTTCACCGATTTGAGACGATTGCGAAGAGCCAGAATTGGCCGGAACATCAATGGGCAACTGCTTTGAGTACTTGCTTGAGTGGTGAAGCGCTCAGTGTGTACGGTAGGCTGACGCCGACCGATGCAGCCAACTATTCAAAGGTGAAAGCTGCTTTGCTGAAGCGATTTAGGTTTACTGTAGAAGGATTCCGGGACAGATTTCGGACAGGTAAGCCAGCTGATGGTGAAACGGCTAAGCAGTACGCCGCCCGACTTAGCCATTATTTCGACAGATGGATTGAACTTTCAGGGACAGCGCAGGAGTACGATGAACTTAGAGAGCTCCTAATTAGAGAACAATTTCTTACTAGTTGCCACCCAAGCCTGTCGCTCTACTTGAAAGAGAGGAAGGCTGAGTCACTTGAAGGAATGCTTGAATTGGCTGATCAATTCTTGGAAGCGCAAGGTGGAACTAATTTGGCCAAGTTCAACAAGGATTGTCCCGATGATTCGAAGAAATTGGCTCCCGAAGAAAAGAAGCGTGCACCAGAGAGCATTCCGCGATGTTTTCTGTGCAACCGAGTGGGTCATCGCACGAAAAACTGTCGAAAGATCTTTACGAGCCCTACGGCAGTAAAATGTTTTAAGTGTGGTCAGACTGGGCACAAAGCAGACGCATGTCGAAACGGAGCGAGTCAAACTCACCAGATATCCTGTGTGCAAGCGGCACCGAAATCTGATAATAATGCCGTCACCGATGGATTCGTAGAGTTGAAGAATGGGGAGAAAATTCCTATTGTGGGTGCTGTATTGTCAAAACAGCCAACCGGTGTTACAAAGGGAATGCCAACGCTGCCTGGAAAGGTTGCGGGCAAGAAGATTACGGTTCTAAGAGACACCGGTAGCTCCACGGTTATCGTGCGGAGAAATTTGGTACGGGAAAGTGAGTTGACAGGCAGAACGAAACCGGTTTGCCTAATTGATCGTACGGTTCAGATGCTTCCCGAAGCAGAAATTGAGGTTGAAACCCGGTACTTCAGCGGGAAGGTTACTGCTTTATGCATGACGACCCCCCTGTACGACCTTGTCATCGGAAACATCGACGGGGCGCAAGAGCCGAATGATCCGGAATGTTTGGGAGAAGACCCTAAGATAGAGCCCTCGCCAACCCAGCGACCGCGAGATACAGTGGAGGAGCATCCCGTGACGGATCTCACTAGAGCCCAAAGTGAAGCCGCGGCGCAAGAGACAGCGAATGAGAAGATGATCGTGTTGAATGAGTTCACGTGCTGGGCAGCTGGATGTACGTCGGCACGACCCCAACTGATCGACAGTGTAATGGTGACGGAGTTGGCCAGCCAAGCCCAATGCCGTGACATGAACGAGCTGGTAAACAGACAGAACCCGTCGAACCTTATGACCCGTTAACGGTGTCGGAAGTGACAACGATGGCTGAGACGCCGCCTCAGATATTGTCGTTGGAAAGGGCTCGCCGAAAAGGAACGTGGAAAAACAAGAAGAGATCGAGCGAGCACCGCAAGGAAGGGCGCCAGCGCCGCTTAAAGTACAGAGGATAAGTGCTTAAGTCGAATCAAAATGTGTTTGGCAGGGCTGAGTGCTATATGATGTGTTAATGTTCTTGTTGTCCTGTGTCGCAACTGTATGTTGAGTGAGTCAAAATGTTTGTTTCAGTGATGTGATGTATAGTAATGATGTGAGTATAGTAATTGTTGTAATGATAGAACTTTATACATTTGTATTGTTTGGAATGTGCGACGAAGTGTTGTAGTCATGTACCTGTGGTTATATTTCATGTGTCGTGGAATGGAATTACAATGTACAGTTGTATTGAGGATCTATTCCGAATGTGAAGTGTCATGAGCGACGGTTTGTGTTACAGTCTTTCAAAGTGTGTGGTGACTGTTCGCGCTCGTTTGTGTGGTTTTGAATATTATGAGATAATATTCTGAAAGTGGGGGGCAGTGTCACAGAACGAGCGCTAAAAATGGGCGCGCCGCCAAATTCTTGCGATAACGCACGAAAGAGACGCCGCGAGGTCAAAAGAAGAAAAAAGAAAACAAACATCCAAGGCTCCCCGGGGCGCGCGCTCTCCCCTCGGAAGCGTGGCTTCGCCGACGCACCTCCTCACCCCACATCGGCGGCCTAGCAAGCCCTCGAAATTTCTGGAACGAAAGAGGCGTGTTCTGCCGGGTTGAGTCATCGGTCGGGGACGGCCCTTGTACAGTCTCGCGCCTCTCCCCAGCCTTCGCTGCGTATCGCGCCGACGAAATGACGAGAACTTTCTGGAAGGTCGCGCGGAAGGTATTTAACCGAGCAGCGGAGATGAGAGATGAGGAGAAGACGGAAGTTAGCGCCAGAGCGCGTAGGGATTCCGCCGACGTGTTTCGGGCGAAGAAGTTTGAAGCTTGGAGAGTGGCCTATTGAAGACGTGAGGTTTCCTGGAAGAGAAACTTCGGCGAGGTTTCCTGGAAGAGGAACTTCGAGGGCAGCGGAACGACAACAACGCTGGACTTTGAGTGAGTGATTCTCGGAAGAGTATCATTCAGACTTTTGTTCCAAGGACTTTGGACTGAATAGGTTTTCTATCTCTTTAGTCTTTAAGTGTCTTGGTTGTTCAATGCATGCGACTGCATTGTAGTGTGTACTGTTGTCTGTGCCCATTGTTCGAGTGTGGCTAATTGTACTGTGTAGTACGTTGTTTGATCGGTGACATATTGTACTCAGCTATTGTGGAGGGAGCACATTTGTGTGTTGTTTTTCTGATCTGCCATTATTGAGAATATAATTTTGTTTGTTTATCAACTCTCGGCTCTGACTTGTTCTTTGGGCCACAGCCGGCGTCCGCTAGCGCGCCAAAAAGGACCACTTCTAAATTGTCCACGCTTTCGTGGTGCGGTTCGGGGGGCTGATACTTCGGCCCTTGGAATTAGCCCGGCGATCGCCTCCCTAATTAACGGCGCCTGTGTGTGACACCAGCATCATGCCAACTTGGGAATTCGATCAGAGGAAATCCAAAGAAACTACACGTTCTCCATTGCGTGCTACATGTACATCAAACAGTAATAACAACATAAAACTCAACCATATAGATATTATCTTCAATAGGAATAATGATGACAATAATATTGTTCTTAATAATATTAGCATTAACACTATTGTTTATATGTGGTGCTTTCATCATAAAGCCACAATATGAATATGCGAAACGCTGTAGTAGACAAATCCGTAAACTTGGAAGATCTGGCGTTCTTTAACGCGCACTGACTTAGCACAGTATACGGGCCACTATCATTTCGCCTCCATCGATATGTGACCGCCGTGGCCGGGATCGAACACCCGATCTTCGTGCCAGGCGCTTAGCACCATAAAAGCTACGCCACCGCTATTTTACGTTGGAGAATGAAGGTTCGTTCAATCGTTCCGGTGGTAGGACCAGTTTAGTCGCAATGGAACTTGTCACAAATGGCCACTTTAGTCATAGTGACTGGTTCGGCTTAGTCATTTGCTGCTTAATTTCACTGGCTTCTCAGTACGAACTTAAGAGTTGCCATGCACACCATGTTGATGGTTTGATTCCTGAACAAAGAGTCCACATTTCGATGAATGCAAAAGGGCACCAGGTGCATAAAAAGAGTGCATAGTGTTCAATTTGGAGGTCGTCCACCAAGGCGACCTTAACAACAGTCTTTTCGGAGCTAACACGTATGATTACTGCAATACAATAGAGTGGGTTATCATGAATCTCATTGCTGACCCATGTTTGCGAATCCTTGCTAGGAAGATGACGATGCCAATGAAGAATGGAAGACATTTCTTTTTTACAGCGTAAGCTGCATGTTATGGGATCAAAACTTGGGTCACTTGCAGCTGTCCACCACCACCGCTGCCGTCAGTGTCCTTAACCACATCGCGTCAAATTAAAAAAAAAAAAACCTATCACCAATGCCCCAGTGGGGATCAAACTCACACCTGCTGGGTGCCATCCAAGTATTCTACCACGGAGTTACACCGGTACTTGTGACATGCTGGCAAACTTTCCTTAGGCAGATTTGATGTGGAGAAAGCAAGCGCGTTATTGCGAATTATGAAGCTTTTAAAACAAGCGAAATAACAACCAGTCGTCGCACAATGCGAATAGCGTCACGAGTGGGCCATCCAATGCTACCGCCTATTACAAAAGCTTGTTTTTGTTCCCCTAGTAACTGTGGCGCATAACTACTTCAGGCAATATTCCTCATCGTCGTCAGCCGCTGCATGTACATTTGGCACAAAATCCCAAGTGTTTAGCGGATACCACGCTTCTCAGAAGAATGACGAAAAATAGCATAGTGAATGCCGGCCTACTACCAAAAAGTATAATTAATGCCCTAGTGAATATCAAGCAAGTATTCTTGCAGTAGTTACCCAATGAGTGTTTTGAAAATGCCCTGAGAGGCCTCTCTCATGCTTTCGCTATGACTGTGCTGCGCCTTTCACGCAGGCCTGGTGTTTTTTTTTTTGGCACAATGATGACCAGTTGTTCCAAAACATTTTCTGAATATTATTTGCCTGACTCTTCGCAAAGCTGCCTCAGTGGTAGGTGGGTTACGACCATTCCAGCATCATCATCACCACCATAATGCTCCAAGTGCACGCGTGCAATCCTCGTGGCACGAACTTTCCTGTCGTTCACTTGGCTTTGGTGATCTCATAAAAGAATCTCTGTTTCTCCGCTTGCCAAAAACGTCAACTCTTCCTTCAGGCTCTCTTAGACTGTTTGGCGATCTCCACCACTCCTCTACGACGAGAAAGAGCCGTGCAAGGTTTCAAGTCGACGTCCGTTTTTCCGGTGAGCTTAACTCTGTCTTATTCTTCGGGACCTTGTATTTGTAGGCTCGGGGGACGTAGCCTTTTTTCTGAGCGGTTACTGTCCATTGGTCCCATATTCAAGCTCAATAATAATCTGCATAAACAGTGAAACAGTACCGACCGCAGAACAATGGTTTAGTTATTATCGGGAGTATTCAGTGCGTGAAGAAATCTTCATTACGCGATACTCTGGACCCCTCTTAATACTTATTGTGTTTCACATTGACATGTGGGAGACACTTCCGTTTCTTTTCCTTTTTATTTGTCTTTTTTCGATGTTTATTAACGTACTCGCATCTGTTAGGTCCAGAATGAACGCTACAACTAGAGGCCCGTACACGTAAAAATTCAGTGGCAAACATTTACACGTGTTGCAACTGGCATAGCAAATTGTCGTCTATTTTCAGTCCCCTTCTCCCCCTACCAAATGTTGTACGTTTGAACATTCCACATCTCTACCATGATCCGGTGTCACACAACGGCTTGATATCGAAACAACAAATGACTACTGCGATTGTAGAATTCTGCTAACTTTATACGGCGTGATGCGTCCAAAACAAAGAGCGCAGAAATTCTGAAGTTGCATCACTGGCAGCTTTATGTGTTAGCATTTTCTTAGTATTGTCTTTTCTGTCACCTCCTCAGGACTCTTGGTCACGGGAAGACTGAGTTCTGGCAGTTTCCGAAGCTTAACCAGCAGACTAGGTTGACTGTAAGCTACCAAATTGCAAATCATTATCTTGCAAGCCTTAACGTAACACTTAAGACTTCAAATTTCATTCGCTTGTTTGTGATATTCTACAAACATTGTGGTGGCACAAAAATGACCTTCATAGTTCTCGCTTCGTCCTACTTAGCCAAGGTTGTTTCATAAATTACCTGTAATCAATTGGTCAGGGATCAGGTTGGTCTCTACCTTGTATAGTATAAGTTAAAGCTTGACCACCATGTGTGCAACACGAGCAGGGGCCAAATCCTGAATCCTCCCGCAACCCTGGCATCGTCGCGAACTTACAGTAAACGAAACTTTTACTGCAAGCAGCGCTCATAGCACCCACCTTCCAAACGTATAGGTCACCGTATTGCGAGTGCGAACTTACTTGTTTCATGTGCCTGAATAGCGGCCAACTGAATGGAACGAGAAAGTCAGAAGTGCGATAAAGGAGTCGTCACACGTGCTCAGGGTGTCGTGTATAGGATACCGCAATTGTCTAGGGCAACGTGCGTGCTTCCAGAGCAATTAACTCATCACGTCAACCTAAAATAATGCATGTTTCTCACATAGCCGCTATTTATGGGTTTCAAGAAGCCTCGTCTCAGATATATAACCCAATGCATTATCAAATGGGAAGCTCGTTTTTTCCTGCGTTCTCCCGAACTTTTTTTTTTTGCAGCGGTACAACACTATCGGACCCTCTATGGTTATTTACTAAAACATGCGCGATGGCCAGTGATACCCCTAGTGCTCATCTCGTATAGCGTTTTTTTTTGGGCCCCGTGATCCACGAAGGTAGTTTAAAAAGGTGCTCACATATGGTGAGGAGCCCCTTCACTTTTAAGGGACATTACAGATAAAAAATTAAACTGTTTACGTTGGTAGACTGTACTTTAGGAGCTCAAAAGTTGTTAATTTTAATATCCAAGGTTTGATATTAGAAGAAAAAGAAAGGTCAAAATCGTGTTTCTTTTAATTTCACGGAAAATCTGCATGCTTGATGTGATATGTTAGTGCATCTGTCATATTTTGATGTAACTGAGTCAAAACTGTTTGCTAAAGTTTGGCATGTTATGTCCAAGGCTTCTTGCAAAGAGGTTACTTCATCTTTGATTCATTCGCACCTACGTAGGTCATTGTTGGCGCTATCAAAATATCTGACGTTAAAGCCAATGTTGGGAAAAATTCAAGGTGGCCTCACCATCCACTCAGTTCATTTTTGGAATGTTTTCTCGCTTGCTAAGCGTCTTCTCTATGAGAGCGTGGGATGTTTACTGTCATGAAATAGAAACTGTTTTCCTTTTTACTGACCCTTTAACAAATGTGTCATTTGGTCATAAGGCAACAAATGTAAACGTGCTAGATCCCATCTATTCCAGTTCTGTGACGCGGCATTCTTTTAGACGTAGCTGTCTGCCCGCGTTACTTCGGCAGTAGTTGTAAAATGCTAAGGCGGCGCACGCGTTTCCGTGATAGGCATTGCTACGTCATTTAGGCGCAGGTAAAGTAACGGGCAACTTCACTGCACTCAATTTCAACTTGATACTCCGCAGACTTGGAGGGAAGGTAATCAAACTTATTTCCGAAGTTGTCTCTCGGAAATAAGTCTGGACCTTAGACTTCAGTCATCATGAGCACACTGATCTGTGCTCGAACCCCTACCAGTACGTGTTCGGCAGCAGGGCCCAAAGGCGCTGCTACAGTGTGCTCAAAGTGGTAGTGAAGACATTGCAGAGGGTCGTCACCGGCATGGCAATGCGCACGGAAGCGCCCTCCCGGACGCAGAGTCCGAGTTAACGCCCTTCCAGGGCCAACGCCACCTGCATCGTCATGTTGTCTAGCAATAAAAGACAGGTATATTTGCAATGTTTGTGCAACAGTGCTGCACATGGCTGCTTCAAAATAGCTTTTGCGGAGCCGCAGCAATTATCTATGTTTCGTCCTTGTGCAAGTTCTGCAGAAATAAGGACGTGTGATATTGAAGGGAGATGCGGCTGATCCTTATCAGCGAATGAAGAGAAATGTCGGTGACGAAGAGGTAGCATGTTGGTTAGGCTACTTGGTGAGGCTGACTTGAACATCAACTGCAGTACCATCTTTTTGCCGGGACATTCGTTCAAAGAAAACCCTCTTAGTGCAGGGGCATGCTGAAGTATCTGCTGATGCAAAAACATCGAAATCGAAGTAATCGCACTGTTCGACTAACACATCCCTTTATAGTGAAGTTACGTGTAATAATAAAGAAAAGAGACAAGCTCTGACAGCGCTGCGAATTCGGATAACGTCTAGTGAGCACTCGTTAGGCTTTTTGAAGACAATACACTCAAAACAATGTCAATTTTTTACGACATACGCGTACATTTTCTCCGTCTGTATCAATCTCTTCTTGTCACCCTTGAGTAATCTTCTAATTTGTGTCATGCGTAAAATCTATGGTAAATTGTAGGGCTGATAGCAATTAGGCCTAATTCTTGCCCAGAAGGCAAGAAAGACAACGTGAGAGCTCTATCAGTTTGTACTTGTATCGCGCACATGAAGAAAGAGAACTGGAATGCATGACTTGAGGCCATAGCGATGAGATTCCGAATACACTAGTTCGTTAAAGAGCACTTTTCGGTGAAGTTAAGTTTGTTTTTCGTACAATAGACGCATAAAAACTGGAGAAACTTCAACGAAGGACACATAAAAGATTTAAAGGCTGTTGCTTTCTTGTCATTCAATCGTTATATATATACAGCATAAGTTTCTTGTGTATATTAGGTTTTCTACCATGAGTTATTGTCTTTCTGGACCGTCTACCAGCTCGCTCAATATTTTGTTTTTTATAATATTCACATGCAAAAATAGCGTCAGTGTGCAAATCTTGATTTCGTTTTGTGTGCGTGCCTTTTCACGGCCACATCGTTGGACGAGGTTTTATTGTGGGACGACTTGCTGTCTCCGTCATTTTCATCTGGGGCTGTTGTGGCCGTTCAATATGGCCCGTCGGAACGAAAAGTGCACGCATCATAGTAGTGCTAGCGAAGCCTTAATGCCAGGTCACCCGAAATACGGTAGCTTGTGTTCACGATTGACGCATATATACATGGGCTTGCAGAAACACACAGAGAAAAACGACATTCGCACTACCATATATAGGAAGGGAACAATTGACGGGGAGCACTCCTTATTAACTGAAAGTGGATATTATTGAGAACGCAAATAGCTGTGCTCTTCTGCACCACTAAGAGACCATTGCTCACTTTAGTTACAACACAGGGCTAAACTTGCAGGAGCTGCGAGAGGAGAACAAGGTTGACGGAGACCCCAGACCTCCTGTCAGCAGCCCACGGCGCCCCGGAATAGACCAGGAGGACGCGTCGCGCGCAACAACCATGCACGAGATCCGCGGTTGTTGGGTGGACACCCGTTCGAATTCATCTGCAGCTGATGAACTACTTGACGACACGGATGATGCAAGCGACGAAGCTACACAGAACTGGGAAGATGGCCTTGAACTATGCCGCGCATTGCCAGCAAGTTTACGCACGGATTCTAAGCGCTGCTTTCGCACAATGGACACGACGGATGCTAACACGTTCTCAACACGCATTTGTTAGCTTATTTTTGATGGTTCATTTATGTGTATTTCAACGAAAATAATATTTTTGTCGAAAGCGATCTGGAGAGACTCTTTTTACTTTTCGTATATAGGATTTTTGGTAATTCGACGATCACAGCTTTTAGAGCAGGGCTCTTGAACACCCATCCTATATGCAGTCCATGGATGTTTGACAAGCTGCCTGCAAAGGGTTCGCTATTGTTTGCTAGATGACGCTCGCATCATTTCCTCACATATCGCAGTTAATAAACCTTTGTTTGGGTAAGCGGGAGAGACGGCACAGTTCTCTCGAACTTTTGTGAGACGCCCCATGTTGTCAAATTGTGTTAAAACATAATCGCACACCGATTTCTCTACAATCTGGAGACTATAGTATCGGTTTGTCCGTTAAATGTTGACGCCAACGCCCGTTCAGAAATTATCTGTATATGACATATGCGAATTACTTTCTGCTAAGGTTACGCTTTTGGTGATCTTTATCTCTCTCGTCGAGGTAATTTTCACAGCCTTTTTTTAGCTAAAGCTCTGCCCCTGCTAGATAAGCTCAAGGAAATCACTGGGTGTATGCTTTTAAAGACGATAGTCTTTCTCGGGGACCTTCGACGAAAAAATGCCAATGTGTCTCTCTGTCTGTACATTTGTTTGTTTGTCCGCCCATAAAAATACCTCAAACAACACAAACGGCCGAGTCCATCCTCAGCGCCGACCAATATTGCTCAAGATTCAGCTTTCATATTGTTGCGATTGTCAATTAAAAAGCAATAATCACGCATATCTGAGGCGTGATAACAACACGTCGATGTTTTGAATTTGTGCCTTCATACTAGGAGCCCGTGTGCTCAGATTTTGGTGCACGTTAAAGAACCCCAGGTGATCGAAATTTCCGGAGCCCTCCACTACTGCGTCTCTCATAATCTAATGGTGGTTCGATGGTTGATATGTGGTTAGATCCCACATATTAATAAATTCATACTAGAAGAGGCCCACACAAGTAACTATGAGGACAGTAGCGTTTATAACGCTGCGCTGACAGTGCAATATGATGGTCAAAATGGTAAGTGTTTCCAACGATTTGCTAAGACGACAGGGTGGTGGCACCTGCCCGTCGCTTTGCGTTCTACACATTATCACCCCCGAGACAGGCGCGCATCTTTCTCCACGGGCGCGCACAGCTTCGTTTTCGAAGTTAAAAAGTAGCCCTAGAGATTAGATAATCCTACAGATTAGCACCTCGAGGCCTTGCCTGCTAAGTTACCGCGGCTAGTGAATTCGTCGATACTGGAACTGTTTCCACGCGAAAGCATCTTGTGCACCGTGAAGTAAAAAGTTCCGCAACCAGCACCGTCATACGGCGGTTACAACATTCTCATGTCCAAGCGATCTCGTCAACTGTATATCTCATTGAATACCGTACGGGCAGCCAACCAAAAAGTTGACTTTTCCCTATTTGAAAATACCGGACTAGTCTGCATTCCTAATTTTCCAAGATCACATGACATTAGGAAAATTATGTTGCACATTCTGACTAAGTGATGCGACAATATCACGTGACATGTTTATATTCTCAAGACGCCTGTAGACACCCATTGATCTCGCATCCATTGCTCGAGGGGTAGCTTTATAATGTATTTTTTTTTGCGGTTTCCCCTATCGCCACAAGCGTGATAACAGTGTGCCACTTACGCCTTGCGGCTCCATTCAGACACTTACCTTTGAGTGCCTCGCAATCAAAACACGCAATGTGCATCCCCAATAAACTATAGACGGATTATAGACCCAAGTCTGCGATCTTATACGGTCTGCTTGAGGAAGTGTGGACAGCCTGACGCCTTATGAATCATTGCTTACTTTACCGCAAAAAACAAGTTTACCCACTATGTATGTATATTTTATGTTGAGTCTTGCATAAGCATTCACTCTCTAGCTCTACATGAAATACAGTTTTTAAGAACAGGGATGGGTGTGCCTTTGTCTAGGTGTCATGATTTTTTGTACACCTGAGTCTTCCTTGCCTTTCTCTCCTGTTATATATTTCTCTATCTCACACACACACACACACACACACACACACACACACACACACACACACACACACACACACACACACACACATATATATATATATATATATATATATATATATATATATATATATATATATATATATATATATATATATATATATATATATATATATATATATATATATATATATATGTGTGTGTGTGTGTGTGTGTGTGTGCAGGCACTGTAGGGCCGGTGGGAGATTTTTCCTGCGCGTTGTTGAAGAAAACTTCGCAGCGTGCGCGTTAAGTCGGGCTGTGGGTCTCTGCGTCCAAATCGAAGTCTTCTGTCTCTTATTTCCCATCAGCAGCAGCTGGCTCTTTCCAGCAGGAAGCACCTGTCCATCACTGCATGCCTTGCTCCTCCGCGGATTTTTCTTCTGCGGAACGGCACGATGTGCACCAGCGTCAACGCCACCACCAGTGTAGTGTTAGCACCCGGTTCTTCAATGATTCACATAGTTCCCTTTGCGGGAGGTGGTGTAATTTTTTATCCTTTACTTTCGGCATGGTCTTCGGAATAAAGCTTCAGTTTATAGTTGGCACCTGTTCAACCTTCCTTCTTCATTCGAGTTTATTTCCGTTTATTGCGTAGTACACGATGAACCAGTACCAACGAGCCAACTCGGCACTCTTGCATGGGTATCCATCTTCCACTTTCGGGATGGCTAAACTATCTGAGATGCCAACATGCTTAGGAGATTTTAAAAAATAATTTTTATGGCGCAGTACCATAAGTAATTTGTTTAAATGCAAGGTCAAAAGCAGTACGAGCGTCGGTACAGAAGCAGCAAGAGCTGGCAAGGTATACGGGCGTCGTCGCAGCAGCAACCAGGCAGTTCTCGCTCGTGCCTCGTGCCCACGTCTCGATGTCGCTGCAGTAGTGGGCATTCCTCTTCACTACATATCGTCCCTTGTGGGAAAAATAATTTTGTAGGAATGACGCAATGCTGAAAGTTTAGGGCGAATTCACCTTATAATCGGCCAATCCCCTTCTTTGGGTACGAGCCATTTGCACAGGAAAATAACAACAACAACAACAACAAGAGCCATCCTGGTGACTCATGGAGAACAGAGTACGAGCGGCTATTAATATGGTTTCAACCGCTGTACGCGACCGGTTTCACGACCCCGAAAGTGCTGGTCCGTGGATGGCGTAACGGGTTCGAGGATGTATTTAACAGGTGAAGTCTGCGAGACAACGCGGTAGGGTCCTTGGTATTTTGAAACAAGTTTTGAAGAAAGGCCTGTAGGGACAGCTGGAACTCAAAGCCACACAAGGGTGTCCGGAACAAAGTCAGGATACGGGTGGTTATCGTCACGCCGAGATTTTCGTCTTCATTGGTCAATGGTTGTGAACGACTGGGCGAGCTTACGACATTCCTCGGCGCGGCAGGCAGCTTCAGAGATGGGCGCACACTCGTAGGCATCGGGGTGGTAGCGCTGAACGGTATCTAGCGTGGTGGAAGGGTCTCGGCCGTATAACAGGAAAAATGGCGAAAAGCCCGTAGTCGCCTGTGGAGCAGTGTTGTATGCGTATGTCACAAAAGGCAGAATGAGGTTCCAATCGGAGTGGTCTGAGGCAACATACTTAGATATCATGTCACCAATGGTATGGTTCAGTCTTTCCGTCAAGCCATTCGTTTGGGAATGGTAGCCGGTGGTAGTCCGGTGATCGATGCGCCATTCGGCAAGGAGTGCGTTGACGACTTCGGAGAGGAATACACGTGCTCTGTCACTGTGAAGTTCACGCGGTGTGGCGTGACGGAGAATGAAGTTCCGCAGGATAAAGACGATACGTCGCGTGCTGTGGCAGCAGGCAAAGCGGCTGTTTCTGCATATCGCGTCAAGTAGTCGACAGCGACAACGATCCAACGGTTTCCGGAAGCCGCAAATGGAAGAGGCCCGTATAGATCGATTCCAATGCGCTCGAAAGGCTTGGCTGTGGAATGGATTGGCTGGACCAAACCAGAGGTGTAATGAGGCAGAGCTTTCTGTTGTTGGAACTGCGGGCAAGACTGAATGTACTTGCGCAAAAAGGTGTACATGCCTCGCATATGAAACCGGGAGGAAAGCCAAGCGTATGTTTTGGAGATGCCCGCATGTGCGCACTGAGGGTCAGCACGGAAAGCTGAACATATTGCAGCGCGAAAATGGCGAGGTATGACCAGTAACCACTTTCGGCCGTCAGACTTGTAATTCCTGCGATAAAGGAGGCCATCGCGGATCTCAAAGTGAACTGCTTGACGGCGCAATGTTCGAGAAGATGCAGAAGTCAGCGAGTCTGAAATGAATCGCAAAAGAGCGCTGATCCAGTCATCCTAACGTTGCTCAGACGCCCTGCCGCAGTTTGCTGAAAACGCAACCGTTTCGTCCACGGCATAAATACAGGCAGAGCTTTCCGAAAATACAGGTGAACGCGATAGGGCTTCGACATCAGTGTGACGTCGGCCAGACCTGTAGACAACACGCATGTCAAACTCTTGCAACCACAAAGCCCAGCGAGCTAAACGGCAGGAGGGGTCCTTCAACGGGAATAACCAACAAAGTGCATGGTTATAGGTGACTATACGAAGAAAGGGTGACCATATAGGTACGATCTAAATTTACCTAGAGCCCATATAGTTGCCAGACACTCCTTCTCTGTTACAAAATAATTCTCCGTTTTGGTGAGGGTACGGCTTGCGTATGCGACTACGTACTCCGGGAATCTCAATTTGCGCTGCGCAAGCACGGCGCCGAGTCCAATCCGCTGGCATCGGTTTGTACCTCAATCGGGGCAGTCGGGTCGAAGTTACGCAAGATTGGCCGTGAATTTAACAGGTGGCGCAACTTTTTGAAGGCGTTATCA